GCTTTTTGACTTATTTTATGATTTTTTGCTAATTAATAAGCTTAAACCATCAAAATGCGACTCTGCGACTAGCGCAACTGACTCATTTTGACCATTCTAAACCAATACCGAGAATCTCCGAGCCGAGTCAAACCAACGATCATATCTCGCAGCATCGTGCGAAGCTTCAACGTCAGCCTGTATTGGAGATTGGAGCTGTCAACAATGGCTTATCATAAAAATCGACACAATTCTGCGATTCCCCCCCCCCGTTTTCTCTCCGGCCTTGGGGCAGAAAGGAAAGCTTATCACTTAAAAATTAATTGGACGCTCACGACTCACTTTCCGAGAAAAAACCTCAACCTCGGGGTATCAGCGAACTTCCCAGTGTCCCGTGTCTGCTGCCACAACATTCACGGTCATATTGATTATGACATTTGAAGTTCACGACAATGACGCAGCCTTTGTGAGTGTGGTCGGTAAATATAAATTATTTTGGTCTTACGTCACGCTGGTATCAAATATCCGATAGGTATCGCTTACTTTTCATTGATAGCACTTAAAGAGGTTTTGTTTTGATTCAACTCGTCAGATCGATTGTATCGGATTGGATTAGAACAAATGCATGGCTTCTTTTAATGATTTCAATGAGGATAAATCGACACCTGTTGAATAGTCGATATCCGTTGTGGCGTAAGACTACTAGCGGCTGTAATTCATAGGTTCCATGGCTGGAAAATAGAGAAAACTAGGTGGAAATGTGGAAAAGATGTAGGGATTAAAGTTGGGGTGAATGTGAAGGGGGGGGGGTGAAAATCTAGGGGGAAAATAGAGAAATTTCAAAGGATATTCATCACGCTGGGAATTTTTTCCTGTTCCTGTTCGATGTCTCTCTATCTTTTTTAAATATTTGTCGGAACGAAATTTTCAGAACTCGATGATTTTGCAATTGAAAACTAAGGACTTGATAGAATAGGTAATTTAACCATGGAAATAAGGAGAGACGGTTTTATTCTCGTTGTTTTATTCTGCAACTTCGCTGATGGACGCGTCGTTTTTTATGACGCTTGGATGCAACTATTTTTACTTGACGGATAGACAAAAAATGAAGGAGCAGTATGTTCCCTCACACGGTGTATTAGTCAGGAGCACAAGGTGTGACTTTTTTGATAACGTCTGAGAGATGCAACTATGTATCCAGCATGAATGACGCTTTGATGTTTCTCAATCCAATAATTGAGATCTCAATTACGGAATATCTTTATTTACAGTAAATTCGTGCACCAAAATTATTGGACTTAAATCGTCGCCCCCACGACGAAGAGGCGTATCAAGATTTTGACTAGAATATTTTTGTTGAGAATCTTTTGACATTTGCCGTCTATACACCCCCCGGACAATTTAGATCTTTTCCCAGAAAATCCTGTCAAACCAAAATTAAGAGGCGGAAAGCCATCGACATCAATGAATCCCGACTGACAATACGAATCGTGTTTACCGAAACACCCGACAAATCAGGTTTCCTGAGTCCTGACGAATAACAAAAAAGAGCTCTTTAGGCTGTTGCATTAAAACACGCCGACAAATAATAAAAAAATACCGCCAGATTGATCTAAAATCTGTAGCAGGAATAACAAAATGCAGAAACAATAACTGAGAAACACACCCGATCAATGAGTGACGGGCATATTGTGTCGCGCAAACGGAAAGGGTCTGATTTTCGACGACGTATAATTGAGAAGTCGCAGGTAGCGGGCCGCGCGAATTGGCGTACCATCGAAACCCTCGCGTTTGCTTTATGATGCGCCAGTTTGCCGAATTCAGAAAAGGTCTTTCTTATGATACGCCTTTTTGTTTTTCCTTAATAACTCAGTTAATATTGAGAGTTGAGCTCTCAAAGAAGGCTCGATGGAAGAAGGAGCTTGAGGTGCAGAAGAATCCATTCATAACTCAAAATGATGATACGCCCCTTCGTCGTGAGGGCGACGAAATGAACAAAAATGAATCGCATTAAGTCGTGTATAAGTTGTCTCATTTTATTCGAGATTATTGATTTTGTTCCACCGCGGAGTGTATGGACTTAGCATTATCTAAACATCTATGTCCGTTAAAATTGATCCGTTTAGTTAGGATCGCTTACCGCACTGGAAAAAAACCCAGCCCTCCGCTTTTTGACGTTTCGCTTGCTGATAATGCTTGTTTGCTGTACGGAATAAATTAGAGGTTAGCTGCGAATTGCACTTGCGGTCGACGAAGATAGGTTTTGACGGGGGAAAATTTCCTGACCCATGAGTTTAGATTGATTCAGGCCGACATTGCCGTTTCGGCGCGACAGCATTTGCAATGCACAGCATAGTCCCTGGGAAGAATACTCGTCTCCGAATCACGAACTGTCAAGAAAATGTTTTTAAAATCTCTTACATAACGTGTGAATATTTGTTTTTTTCTTTCTTTCTCCTTACACATGCAGCAACTTTGTAATTGCCTGTGCATACTGAAGAAATTTATGTTTCAAATTTTCTGATGAAGATATCACGTTTTATTTTACCTGTTGAAATGTTGAGAGTGATTCGCCCCGCAGGTTCTTTGACATTGGCGAACCGGTGTGCAATATATTGCATAGATTTAGTAAAAAATCCCGGCAGCTTTTGACTTTACAGCCAATGAAAGAACGAAAGTCCTTGTGCATAAGCCTAATAATCATTCTCAATTTAAAAAAAAAAAAAAAATTAAAAAAATTAGGGAAAAGATAACAAGAATTTTCTTGGGGGAAAAAACGTTCCAATTGATACAGAGGTCTATAATCGTATCGATTACACCGTTTTTTTCTAAGACAAATCCTGCTTTTATTTCTAAAAATTTTGCACGTATTTTTTTGTTGAAAATGATTATTTAGGTTCATGCGCAGGGGCTATCGTCCTTTTTTTCAGCCAAAAAGCTAGTCCAAGTATATCGAAATGTATGACTTATAGTCGATGCAATATATCGCACACCACTTCGACTTTACCAAGATATCGGGACGAATCTCCTTATGCATAACTCTATATTCTCAATTCATGAGAGTTTTTGTAGCATCCTTTAAAAAATGTGACCGAACTAATCGCCACTTCATTCATATTGTTAAAGTATGGAAGTTTATTTAGATTTCGCAACTGTGCAACGAATAATGTGTGCTTGTATGAGACTGACGGCGGGTCAAGAACCGCTCTTGATGGAGTGTCTTGACGTCACGGGCTTTGTCCGACCTATCAGGTGCGTTTAGTGGTGGAGTACGAGTAAGCACCTCAGATTCATTTCAGCAAGAACGTCTCATCTGCTGTAGTTTTCTCTGCGTGTATAGGCCCTTTTTCCCGAAACGCAGCCAATTTAGGCCCTAGCAACCGTATCCGTGTACGAAAAACTCGCAAATATAATAAATCTAGTTGTTAACTTCTAGTCAGCCTAGTTGCAAAACTAATGATTACTAAAACATAAGATGGTAGTCTGAATCCCAATTGCACTCATTCCACTACTCCGTAACCAGAACCAACATTATGGTGCAAATTACTGACCACTTTTAATTTACCTTCCACGAAACAAACAGTCAGAAGTGTACACAAGTACTTGGAGGGAACAAGCCAGGTATATACTTTTTGATCCAACAGATAGAATAGGAAGTCATACGAAACAACATGTATAACGTTTGACTTAAGTGGGAATTTAAATGCTTCAAAAGGTTTTCTACTGACAAGTGTTCGATCTCATCCATACCAAATAGTAAGTTGAAACATAGTACGGACATTCAGGGCCGGATTTACTTACTTGCCACCCAAGGGCCGCCTATATCTTGCCGCTCCATTCTCATACATTTTGAAACATCAATAAAAACCATCAAGTGAACGTACCGGAGGGGAAGGGGTGCATAAGACGCGTTTGCTCGTGATGGACGCATTTTTTGCGAAAGCCCTGTCAACACTACACGCAAAAGTTCACGGAGCTTGCCGCGAAAGTTAAGTTCCGTAAACCTATCTCTGTGTGGACAAGGCCTTCCATTTATATGTAATGAACGAAAAAATTATGAAAGAACAAACATAAATGTGGTTTAATAATTTTAACCTCCGCCGCCGCGCCGCGCTGACCGCACTGTGTTTGGCGCAATGCGTGAAGTATTCCCACAGTCTTGTATGCGCCATGCGTTTCATGCTGACGGCGGCGACCGCTGCTGTACGGACTGTGTTTGACGCAATGCGTGAAGTAATCATGCAGTCTTGTAGGCGCCATGCGTTTCACGCTGCCCGCTGCTGACCGCAGCGACCGAACTGTCTTTTGCGCGATGCGTGAAGTATTCATGCAGTCTTGTAGGCGCTAATATGTGTTACATGCCGACCGTCGCGCCGAGGGTTTCTCCTTTTCATCTCAAGTTCTCGTCATCATTGCTCTCTGCGCCGTGCCGCTCCAGACCAAATTCCGTGTTCGGTTTCTCTCTTATACTCTTAACTCGACTAATTAAAGGTGCTGTCTATTGTATCACAGAAAGACGACAAAATTAGAGATATACTTTCAGGAAATGAGAGATTTTGTCACCTTTTCTCTTTTGTAATTTTTTTCCTGAATTAGATTTTTATTTATAGCTACATTTAAAAAAAATTGCAAAATTTGCCGCATGTGGCCGCCCCCTAAATTCGGCCCTGCGGACATTCAAGGGAAATAATGATACCAATCCTGTCATTGGTCAGTTTGGTCACGGAACATCGGTTAAATCTACTGAAAAATTATTGAAGAAAATGCTGAACATTTCAAACAGATATGTCTCAAAATTTTTCTCGTGAAGTGTTGCCAGTTCGGACAACGACTTGTCGTCGAATTTTAGATTTTTCTCAGGAAGCCAAAGAAAACCACGTGAAAAAATGTCCACAGACAATGCCGCTACTTTTATTCCGCCCATCCAATCACAATTCTCAATTTCACATTGTTGTATCCCATCCCTGAAAAATACGAGTAAATTATTTTCTCTTCTAATCGGTTTTCTTTTCTGTCCACAGGCGATTAATGGTCAACTGATGATGGGCAAGAGATAGTATATTCTTTATCCTCCGTTGACTCGATCCAATGCCAGCCATGTTGAAAGTAAGTGTAACAAATGATTATTTTTTTAAAAAAAGAAACAAAAATTGACAGCGTACTTACACGGAGAAAAAAACTTTGTGCATGGGACCCGAAGTTGAGGTCATATGGATCTCTGAAGTTTTCTGATCACGCATCCGAAAACTTGAGGTCGAGCTGCCGAAGTTCGGGTCAGACATCGAGGCACTTCGGTATGTACCGGAGTGCTTCAGATGTGTGACGCGAACCCTTCGGTATACATCGAAGTATTTCAGATGTGTGACCCGAACTTCGGCAGCTCGACCTCAAGTTTTTAGATACGTGATCCGAAAACTTTAGAGATCCATTTGTCCTCAACTTCAGGTCCCACTCACGAAGTTTTTTCTCAGTGTACAGGTCACCGCCGAAGACAAAATTAACTACATTTTGCAATCGGGAAACACCATCTCCAGCTCATTTCACAAACGATGTATTTGCCATCAATTTTACGTTCCGGATTGCTGATTTCATGTATGAGCCAGAAATAGTAGTTTCTAGTAAATTACTAAATTTAGTTCAAATATCCAACGAAGACCCCGCACAAACAGCTGATCCATGACGTATAACTTACACTCTCGAAGATCAACCCTACTTCCTACTCATTCCCACCTCCACCAAGTCCGAACATTGACTAATCCGCTAGCCACGTTTTGTTAAATCTTTGAAAAACGAGACATAGTTCGCCAAACACGCAGGATACGCAGGTACCCGCTCCTACCTTTCCATGTTCCCGATGACTACTCAGGGTGTCTGCAAGTCCGGAAATTCCGGAAATATTACTGATTTTTTAAGAGCGGACCGGAAGTACTGAATAAGTGCGGACATTTTGCAAATCGTTCCGGAATTTTTTTCATTTTTTGTCATTTTTGTCGCAATCTGAGCGGGAAATTCTAATTTTTGAAATTTTTGAAATTTCGTCAATTGGAGGCACTGAAAACGTACTGAATTTTTCTGTTGGGGAGGAACTGAATTTCTTGGAAATGTACCAAAAAATTACTGTACAAGTACTGATTTTTGGCCAGCCTATTTTAGTAGACATACCCTGCTACTCCCCTTTTTCCCGCAATTGCTTTATGCGATACCAGGGGGCCGTTCCTAAAATCCATAACGTTCTGATGAGAAGGGAGGTCTGAGCCTCAATTACGGGTGCGTTACAGAGGGGAATAGAGAGTCTAAGGATGCGTTACGTAACTCTGAAATCGGCACTGTGTGCCGAAGTTTCGAAATACAAGGTGAAAAACCGACGCGAGGTGACAACTTTTCATCCAAAATTTATTACAGGGCGCCGCAATTTGAGGGGGAGAGGGGCGTTGCGATCATTCTTACGTGACGCTGCGTTACGGGTACGTCGGAGGGGACAGTGAAGAAATCAGATTTTAAGCATTACGCATTTTTTATAAAAATGGCTCTTTATTTAAAAAACATACCGAGAATTTCGGTCGCCGTCACTTAATTTATGTTCTCGCGGTTTGAGTATCATGATGGACGCTTCAGCAACTTTTTTCACTTCCTTCACTGAGAAACCGGCTTAAATTTTAGGCGGGGGACTTAGGAATTCCAATTTTCGAAAGTGGGCGCTTTACTCCGTGACGCAAACACCGCCGCACAGTGGATCGAGCCAACAGGAGAGGTCGGACAAAATTTGGAAACTTTAATCGTTCATAACTCCATTTACACAAAATTTTGAGGTTTCAAAGATGGTTCCATTGGTTTCCTCTCGAAATTTTCTTTGAAAAGCAATCCTCATTTAAAATGTAACAAAAGAAACGTAGAAATTTTCAGTTTTAGTCAAAAATTTTATGTCCGACCTCTGTAATTGACTCGATCCGCTGTTCGCCGTTGCGAAATAATTCCTTGATTTAAGTCAGCACGGGGCTAGCTGTATCCATTGGCCCACCTATTTTCGCGAGGAGACGAAATGTTAAAACCACTTCCATGGCTACGGAATGCCACGATTCAATGGACCATGGGTAAAAATGAACCGATGCACATTATTTTAGAATTGAAACAGAGAGGTTTGAGTTTAAATATTATTTTGTGAGAATATAGTGTCGATCTTCCGCCTTAAAGCGTCGTATCGGCTTCTAGATTCTCTGGGGATCATATACAAGTATATTCATATTGCCAAGGGAATCCAGAAAACACTACTTACATTCTCTAAGTATTTTATAAGTATTTTTTTGTTAGCTTCAGTGCCGGAAATTTTTCACGGGAAAGGGAGGACGATCATTGAAATTATTCTAATTGTAGAGAGGGCGGTTTGGAGGTCAGACGATCCGAAAAATCGCGAAAAATCGATGCTCTGGCAATATCGGACGTTAATGACCCACGCGTGCATAAAATTAATGATTGCGGATGACAAGGGTAATTATATTTGGGAGAACTACAGCCCCCCCCCCCAAATTTTTTCGAGAACGATCACGCAAGAGAAAATTGTCATTACTATTGTGCTCCGCGATTTTGCGAGCGGGTTTTTTCGCCAGCGTTTAGAGCTTTTTTGCGGATTTTGCGGATAAATTCAAAATATCTCGATCAACCAACTTAAATCCTGAAGAGAAGTGATTTCTAAACACATAGGAATCGATTTCAGAGCCATCATTGAAAACTACCCTCGACTAAAAGAATATTTTGAAACTTTCCAAATCTTCTGAAAGGCTTGATTTCTCACCTAAAAGAACATTCTATCTCCGCGCACTTTTAAAGCTCGTAAAAATATTCGTTAATTTTCAGTCAGCGCGAACTTTATATCTCAGCGGTTTGTTGTAATGCGCTGAAATATTGGTTATAGCCTTTAATCAACGTGTAACATCATTGTACAACGTTCCCGCTGGACTTAGGTGGTTCTAACTTAACGGGGTAGACGATTCGTCCGTTCGCCCGGTAGGTATTTCCGTGGCGTGGCGTGCTTTGCGATATATCGATTGATCTGCCATTTAAACCTATGGAAAAGGATCGATAAACAGGGTGTTCGCAGCGAACACCTTGATAATCGACTCATTACCATAGCTTAAAATGGAGAAATATCGAAAATCGACCATTCACGCCACGCCACTGGTATTTCTGTTTCAAGTATTCTACAGTTGGAACGTGACTCTTAAATTATTTAAAAATATTCAATCGTCTCCTCGTGTATATAGCGTGTTTGTATGAGAATAAAAAAAAATCTCAATGGGAAGTTTCATTTTTAAGTCTAAATATATCTGTTGTGAATTAGCAAGTAGATATTTTCTACTTTAAAAACGTGTTGTATACAAGAAGAAGAAAATGAAAAGGAAAAGAAAAAATCAAACGAGGAATGACTTAAGTTGTCATTCTAGTGAGTTTACGATTACATAAGACGATCTGTAAGTAAAATTCAATCGGAATCATTCATACATCCTAGCAAACGATCATTGGCGGATCCAGCAAATTGGCAACAATGTTTCTTTTCCATTTAAACCTATGGAAGTGTATCGATTCTTGAAGTGGCCAGGTGCTCCGACAAGTATCGATTATTTAACATGGGTTTAAATGGAGGAAATCCTGTATTGCCAAATTGCTCGATCCGCCCCTGCAAACGCTACTGATTTCGCTCCTCCATAATCATATTTTATAGTCAGTTTATCAACATATCTCATAGATATTTTTCATGCGTAGACTTTCAATAAAATCTGCGTATTCAAACGTCAGTCTAGTAGTTTTATATTCAACAATGCAACATCGACTCATCGTTTGAGCTGTTTACCACCGTAGGAAATTTTCCTTTATACGAGAACCCAATATTTACTACTGCAACTAAATTTCTATTAGTCGTGGCAAAAAATTTTGGTCGCAGCTACAACGGTAGATCTTGTCATGAATGGGATTTTTCCCCATGAGTCTCTTTGACGTTGAAAGTAAGGTGCTCAGTAGAAATCTTCAATGCCGCAATGTTCGATACAGAATGTATTCGTTGTGTAAAAAAAAGTGCCCTTGAGGAGGAAAATCCAACTCTCTTTTTGGTTTTGTTCAAAAACACCAAGACCTCTGTATGTATAATGTCCCAAACCTAACCAGAAAGAAGGACTTCGCTAAAATTACCTAGAAATGTCGAAAATCTGCAAGTACAAGGATGCATGTGGGAACATGGAAATGCATATCAATGCATTTTATTTGCATACACGCAACAGGAATGCATATTGATAGTATTACTTCCCTACATAGTGCCATTCAAGGTAGAATGGAACCAAGTTCAGAATGCACCTATCGTTGGAAGCTATGCTAATATTGAACATGACGCAGAGGTGGACCGGAAAAGTCAGGGAATATCGATTTTTGAGTTCAGCCACCACCCAGAATAAATCAACAGAACTCTCATACACCGCAGGATTCTTTTAGACCGTACAGTTTAAAATTTCAAATTTTTCGCAATGATTAAAATCTCGAACCGGTTCCGCGTTGCCGAGCTCACCATGCACCGCTGACGGTGATGGACGTTGACGTGTGTAAGTGCAAAAATTCAACTTGATGCCCACGTCCAGTGGCTCGTTTTGCGATGAATCGATTGATCTGTCATTTAAACTATACACTGAAAAAAAAATATCGGTGTATTTACTAAGAAAAGGGTAAAATTACCAAGAATTCAGGGTTCTATTTGATCCCAGTTTTTTCTTGGTAAAATTACCATTTATGGAATTGGTAATTTTACCGAGAAATCTCGGTAAAATAATTGAACTTTCTCGGTAATTTTACTAGACCTTGGTAAAAACGCCAATATTTTTTATCGACTGTGGTAGAGTTACCGAGATAAAATGGCAAAGTTACCGGGAATTGATTACCAATAAAAATGGTATTCTTACCTGAAAAAAAAACAGTAAAAATACCGGTTTTCAGGTAAGCTTGCCAGTCTGTCTTGGTAAAATTACCAATAACTGGTAAAAAAAAGTGAGATGGTAAAGGTACCAACGGACCTTGGTAAAAACGCTGAGAATTTTTTTTCAGTGTAGGTACATAGAAAAGAATCGACC